AGAGGGACGGCTAGGGGAGAGAGAGGAGAGACAGGCAGGAGAGAGAGAGGAGAGATAGTCAGGAGAGAGTGAGGAGAGACAGCCAGAAGTGAGAGCGAACAAAGACAGCCAGGAGAAGGAGAGGAGAGATAGCCAGGAGAGAGTGAGGAGAGATAGCCAGGAGAGAGAGCGAGGAGAGACAGCCAGGAGAGAGAGTGAGGAGAGAGAGCCAGGAGAGAGAGAGGAGAGACAGCCAGGAGAGAGAGAGGAGAGAGAGTCAGGAGAGAGTGAGGAGAGACAGCCAGAAGTGAGAGCGAACAAAGACAGCCAGGAGAAGGAGAGGAGAGAGAGCCAGGAGAGAGTGAGGAGAGATAGCCAGGAGAGAGAGCGAGGAGAGACAGCCAGGAGAGAGAGTGAGGAGAGAGAGCCAGGAGAGAGAGAGGAGAGACAGCCAGGAGAGAGAGAGGAGAGAGAGTCAGGAGAGAGTGAGGAGAGACAGCCAGAAGTGAGAGCGAACAAAGACAGCCAGGAGAAGGAGAGGAGAGAGAGCCAGGAGAGAGTGAGGAGAGATAGCCAGGAGAGAGAGCGAGGAGAGACAGCCAGGAGAGAGAGTGAGGAGAGAGAGCCAGGAGAGAGAGAGGAGAGACAGCCAGGAGAGAGAGAGGAGAGAGAGTCAGGAGAGAGTGAGGAGAGACAGCCAGAAGTGAGAGCGAACAAAGACAGCCAGGAGAAGGAGAGGAGAGATAGCCAGGAGAGAGTGAGGAGAGAGAGCCAGGAGAGAGAGTGAGGAGAGATAGCGAGCAACACATCTGCCTGAAGCAGAACCCCGGAGCCCTCCAGGACTTATCTGCACCCTGTGTTTCAGGCACCTCCTTGCTCCCCAAGTTCCAGCGTCCCTCCGCGTCCCGCGCCTCCTCCAACTGCAAGACTTAACTCTTGAAAATCCCGGATTCTGCTTTAAATGGCAACTAAGTAACAGCGGAAACCCCCGGCCCCCTTATGGCGTTCCATAAACCTCTTCATCTAGGCGCGGATCAGCGCTCTCCCGCCGCATCCACAGGCCCCATTCGATGGAAACAATGTTTTTATGGCGGGAAAGCAAAACAGACTCCGACGAAAATAAACAAATAAATAAAAGGAAACTTTTGTCCCGCAGCTTGTAGAATCGCATCGTTTATGCAGCCAAACCCGTGATGACAAATATTGTGTTTCGCTGCCGCTGAACAATCGTATCTTTTTATTTCTGCGTTTCTTAATATTCACGGCGATGGCTGATCAAAGGGAAGGCGACGCTCTAAAACTAAAACAAACGTCTTGCTTAGCATGCTGAGCATGAAACAGTCGACGGGAAGTGAATTGTCTCCGAGCGAGCGTATAATTGACAGAAGTTCTTCGTCTTTTCTCAAAAACCGCCATGTATCTGCATCCTGTCAGAATCGGAGCGCTTGTCACTTTAACCGCTGCTTCTTTTTTTTTTTTTTATCCTTTTCTATCTTTTCGGGGGGCCGCGGGGCTGATAATAAGCTGCTTTCGGGCGTGATTAAGCTGGAAAAGGCCACATCTTCAATAATTGAATTCCTCTCAGTCATCCAGATTTAGACAAATTGATATTGGCCTGGGATCGTAACAATATAAAATAAACAGCTTTTTTGCCCTGTGACAGGCGGCCCCGGCGTGTAACAAGGCGCAGTCAGCGGCGGAGCTGTTTATGAAGTTCGCCCTTCAATCTGTTCCTGCAGAAGATTTATTTCTGA